CGAAAACTTTTGATACATTTTTCACTTGGATTCATTTAGTTCTTCTCTCAATATGGGAGAATATACCGACATGAGAATGTGAGAGATGCAGTAAACACTTTGGTTATAGTGTTTAGCTATCATCCATGTATGTAGGAAAATTTCTTGTCTCAGAACTACATAAATATGTGTCTTTTTGTTTAGTGTGAGTGCGGTCGATCTTACCTCTGCTTTCGCAACAACAATTGGTGTCATATCATTTTGGTTGTAACATTTGAGTATTGTGGAAGAGTTAACCTCATCGACCATAAGACATGTTCACACTCACCAATTATTTTAACTTTGTAGGACTAAACCATGATCTAACTTTGTAGGATGTTATTGAAGCCCAAACATGTGTTTAGTTGATGATGCACTACAACAAATACTAGAATCATGAATAGAACTAAGTAAGCTTGAATAATATGTCGTGATCCCTACATTGAACGTATTCAGTACAACATATGGAACTAAACTAAATATTACAATAAATTAGTTTTGTGCTCGTGTATCTCTCGGTATAAACACTTTATTAGACTATTAAAATTTAAAATTTTAGAAATTATATTATATTTTCAATGTCAAATATTTTAAAATTTATTAGAGTATTTTACCTTTTTTAATATTATATTTAGAGGTTGATTTTAAAAATAGAATAAAATAATTTTTATTTTTGAAATTAGTTTTGTATTTTCTTTTACTGAAAAAGGGAGAAAATAAAAAAAATTTATTTCTGTATTTGAAATTATTCCAGATTGCCCGTAAATGAAAATTAGGGTTAAAAAAAGAAAACCCTAAAAAGCTCCCATTTTTTCCACAGCCGCAGTCCTCCCGAGGTACCCTCCCACTCCTAGCCTTTCCGCCCAATCCACACTGCGTCAATCGACCTCCGGCGGCAAGCATACCATCTACGGCGGCCTGTAACTCTTCACTTCCGAAAAAGAATCTCGGCTGAGACTCGTCGGTTTGTTTGGGAGCGGTATGTGCATGGTTGTTGTGGATCTTTCATTATGTTATTTACTCTTTAAGATTAGTTTCAAATAATTTTCTTGTTGATGGACCTGTTTGTTTTTGTTGTTGTCTTCATATTGTGAGAGTGATGTGTTAAATGTTGTATTTTTCTTCTCCGGTATCTTTTACAGGTAGTATGAAGCCGATTTTTTGTGGAAACTTTGAGTATGATGCTCGACAGCCTGATTTGGAAAGACTGTTTAGTCGATATGGAAAAGTTGATAGAGTAGATATGAAATCTGGTGAGCTTCTATCCATAGCATGTTTTTCTGTTGTGTGTGTTTGAATTCCCTTTTTTTAACAAGAAATTTACCAGACATATATCAGAAACACAAAAGAGGACGTTTGTGTTATGATTCCTGTATTAATTTTAAAGTTGCGTTAAATTTGTATCATGTCGATACGAGGCACTTGCAAATTCTGAATCTATGCAATATACTGAACTATCGAAGTTACTTACTACCCGCTAAGAAAGTGTGGATACAACGTCCGCAAGGCAATTCAACCGTTGGAAATTCCCCCAAAGTTTGAGGTCGTCGTTCTCATTGCATTTGGTGCGTTGCGGTACGAATCGGCATCATCCAGCATATGGAAACCGGAGAAGGCGACTTTTGTTGGGTTTTTGGTTGGGGGTTTTTAAAAACATATTTGAGAAAAGAAGAGTGTATGTTTTAAATCCTAAACCGCCTTGGCCAGAATTTTCTTTGGTGCAGGATTTTCTTCGCATATTCATAATTCTCTTGGTTAATGATGGCTCTTCAGAATTGAGTTTTCCGTCTGTGACAAGCTTCCTCTTCTTGTTTCCACGATGATTCATACCGATTCTCAATGGCACTACTACTATCTTACATTTTCCTCCGACACTTTGCTTTCCAGTTTCCATTCCTCATGACTTTTGCATGCCTACAATTCATACATTGTTTCAAGGTTGAAACATTGTCAACCTCAGCTGAGCCTGCAGAATAATGGAGAAGGCACTTTCTATTTGTAGACCTACCATGAGACATCCTGTTTTGGATTATTGCTCCTTGACATCACTTAGTTCATACACAAGGTCTGTTGCTAAATTCACTGGTAACTTAGTTTATAGATTTCACGAAGGTTGTGAATATTTCTTTCTTGTGGTAAGAAATTTTTGTGGTTTATTGTGTTCTTCAATAGGGAGAAAATTGACATTGGATTTTGAGGAATTCGTTGGTGGAAAAATTATTTGGTGTCACACAGATGCCATAATTAGTTTTTTTCTGTTTGATTGGTTTACAGGCTTTGCTTTCATCTACATGGAGGATGAGAGAGATGCTGAGGATGCTATCCGTGCACTTGATCGGAGAGAATTTGGTCGAAAGGGCCGCAGACTACGTGTTGAGTGGACGAAAGTAATGTTCATTGATATGGCACAACTTGGAATGGACTCTTTCCTGTCCATCCCTTTGTGGAACATTATTTACTGTATCTTCAAATTGTATTTCGGTCAATCATTCGTTTGCTTTGCAGCAAGAACGTGGGGTTAGAAGACCTGGTGGAGGAGGTGGTGGAGGTGGAGGAGGTTCGAGGAGATCCTCTACGAATACAAGACCTTCAAAGACTTTATTTGTTATCAACTTTGACCCGTATCATACTAGGACAAGAGATTTGGAGAGGCACTTCGATCCTTATGGTAAGATATTGAGTGTAAGGATTCGAAGGAATTTTGCATTTGTCCAGTATGAATTGCAAGAGGATGCCACTAGAGCATTGGAGCTTACAAACATGAGGTGAGTTTTCTATCATTGAATTGTATACGCATTTTATTTGAGTAGTAAGGTCATTATATTGAAGGTATGAGTTGATCCCGGTTTGCCCTCGTCTCTCTGAGACAATCTGATGGAAAATTACATTGCTATTTGCACTCGTTAGATGCCTTTTATATACATGTTAAGTTATTGGTATGCCTTTTAATTGTTATTACTTTGTACAGCAAATTGATGGATCGAGTGATTTCAGTGGAATACGCTGTTCGAGATGACGATGAGAAGAGAAATGGATTTAGTCCTGATAGGAATCGTGATAGGTCTCCCGATAGAAAACGACGATCTCCAAGTCCGTATAGAAGAGAGCGAGGAAGTCCTGATTATGGCAATGGTATTACCCGTAGTCCATATAGGAGACAAAGGGCTAGTCCTGATTATGGAAGTCGTCGTAGTCCAAGTCCTTATCAGAGGGAGAGAGAGAGGGAGAGGGGTTCTCCTGATTATGGTCGTGGTCGTAGTCCGAATCAGAGTCCTTATAGGCGAGAGAGGGAGAGATCAAGTGACCATGGTCGTGGTCGTAGTCCTAATCAGAGTCCTTATAGGAGAGAGAGGGAGAGATCAAGCGACCATGGTCGTGGTCGTAGTCCTAATCAGAGTCCTTATAGGAGGAGAGAGAGGGAGAGATCAAGCGACCATGGTCGTGGTCGTAGTCCTAATCAGAGTCCTTATAGGAGAGAGAGGGAGAGATCAAGCGACCATGCTAGGGCCCCTAGCCATAGCCCTCCCCATCAGAGGGAAAGACCAAATGATGACCGAGTCCGCGACCGAAGCCGCAGTCCTTACGGGAGAGAAAGGGGGAGTCCTACTACCGATGGACGTGGCACTAGCCATAGTCCTCGCGATAGAGAGAGGTCAAACCCAGACAATGGTCACGATCAGCGGCTGAATACAGCCGAACCCGAACCCGAACCCGAACCCGGGGATAGCCCCAGTTATGGTGGGACGACTCAGAGCCCAAAGCACCGTGGATATAGCAGGTTTGTACTTGGAGTTTGTTTTATTATGATTACTATTATTGTTCTCGATTCTTTTTCAAAACTTTCATCTTATGCCTGCGTTCGTGTTTGACCCGGTGTCGCAGCCGTTCACCACAAGCAGAGGAATGATGACGATGATGATGATGATGTAGTAGAAAGTGATGGTATGTGGATCTCAATCTGCTGCTTCAGGGTATGTTTGGTTGTGTGTAATCAGTATGAGTAGCAAACATGTATTCAAACGATACTCTGCTTTGTGATTTTCAATTACATTTGTGGCGCTTTAAGTTACAGTGATTATTCTATGCTTGCAATCAAAATGAACAGAACCACCCTGATCCATATTTGGTTGTCCCAAGTGAATCAACTTGTATTTTTGGGGTATGAATAGGTTGAGCTTGGTTTAGCTGTTGATATTGGCAATGAACCACCCTGCCTTGGATTGTGCCATGAAAATGATAATTTTGTCGGTTGTTTCATAAGATATGTATCCATTCATTTCCTTCAAAAAGATCCTCGACCAAATTTAATTTAATGACAAACTTTTCATATGCTTCAATTTTATATATATATTTTGTAACTACCATTTTTTTTCTTTTATCTATTATTTTTATGACATGAGAGGAAGACTGACAAATTCTAGTATGTTATATTTTGCAATAACTTTGAAAAAATTGACAAAAAAAAAAAAAAAACATAGTTTTATCTCTTGAGTCGTCCAAATAACTTAGACCAAATGCTTTGATACTAATTTTAAGTGGTTCCAACAAAGAGCTTATTTAGAAAAAAGATTGAATTTTGAATCTAAAATGATAATTTTTAGATCCCAAGAAATGCAACTTGGATATTTTCAATCACAAATTTTCAATGAGACTTTTCGTGTCATCTTCTCTCATGTGAAATTTTTTGAGGGCTTAATTCTCTTGCTATTGTTGATCATTTTAGGTGATTCTTATTTTCAAATCGTTATAATGCAATCTACAACTTGTACAAAGGACTTCAGAAACGAATCAGATGAAAACACTCTTGATTAACCAAAGACACCGAAAGACGAGCACGTGAAAGTAGTGTAAGAAAAGGGAGCTTATTTGAGTCACCTTATATATGAACAACATTCCTTTCTCAAAACCAACTTTTTTGCTATCTACAATGCAAAAAACCTGTTCATCAAAATCTTTCTTCTTTTCTTTTTATTCTTTCTTCACACCCTTGCCTCTTTCTTAGAAGCTTGTGTTCTAAATTCGCCTTTTTATTTTCGTGTCCATGTATATTCTTATCGTCATACTCCAACGACTCTTCCGTCACATGAGATCCCTTTCGTTCTCAATCACGGAGGACACCGTGGTATCAGAGCCAGTATCGTCTAAATTTAAGTTCAGAACTTCGCCACAGAGAGAGGAGCTCTCGTCCTCGCCGTTTATCGATGAGGTGGTCGACATATCCGTAATGGTACTCGCTGTGGCAGGAGAAGGAGAGATATCTATTTCTTCAACAGGCTGTTGAAGGCTCCAGTACATAATGCTGGCTGTTAATGTGAGGATCATTTTTGGATTCACCTGCCATAATATTAACACAAATATATCCACAATTCTAAGAGAGGCTGGCAGATCAGCTCATCAAACAAACAAAATAACCAAATCTGATGCGAAACCATACGAAAAACGATCTTTTTCTTACTACTTGCATGGTTTCAAATGTCGGTAACTGTGCTACGGTATTACTATAACAGCTTAAGCTCACCGCTAGCAGATATTGTCCTTTCTGAGCTTCCACTCAAGGTTTTAAAGCTCCTCAAAGAGGACAATATCGGCTAACGGTGAGCTTGAACGGTTACAATTACGAGAGAAATAAACCATACCCCATCAAAGTTTTGATCTTACCTCTATTATGTCCTCAGGTAACAAGAATATCGAACAACCCAGCTTTCGTGCAACACTGATAATGTAGGTAGCATTTAACCTCTTTTCATCATCTACCCAGAGAAAACAAAAAAGGGTAAGGATTCACAAACAGTGATTTGTATTACACGAGCATAATTCGAGACGGGAAGCTAAGCACACGTTAGAAAACGAGATGAAACGAAAGTTCAACTTCAAGAACGATGAAATATACCGTTTTCACCGTTGGTAACAAGGTTCCAATTCACCACTCTAGGCTGAACAGCACTTAGCAGATCAAGGAAGAATATTCCATTTGACAAACTCTTATCCTGAAGAAAATTACCAAGTTACAATATTGTTGACTTCTAAATAAAATTACTGCGGTAAATGTAACGTGTTTTCGCTTCCTCGTACCCGAAAACTCTCGATTTGAGAAGACTTTCCCGTGCCCTTCACTTTGCTGTTTGCCCACTTCAGAATGTCACCATCTGTCATCTCTTTTCCTCGAGAGTAAGATCTTAAGTTCTTTAAAAGTTGGAGAATATTGAATCTCATTAACTGCCATAGGAAAGCTGCACGAAACACGAGAAAATATAACGCGTCAATCATACCAAGGAAACTTGATAAACGACTAGTATTTCTCAACTATCCATTCAAGACGGTGAAAGATGTGGAACCGAGCTACACAGTGGATGTTCGAGCGAGGAAGCTATAAAATGCATGAATGAGGATTACCAAGGATGAGCTTCTTGTTTCCTTGAACGATATCGTTTCCAGCCACGTTAACCAACGAAAACTTCAACTGCTTCCCGATCCGGATAACTTGATTGCAATTTTCAACCTTTTTAAAAGGCATCTTGATAGGAGGTTTTGATGCATGCTTCCAGTTAACCGACCCTGGAGAAACTTTGTCCAGCGCTTCTAAGAGTATCCATCTGCATAAGGATTAAACATTCAAATTATTGATAAGAGTAGCCCAAACAGGCAACAATATTTTGTGGAGTTCTTTCTATTTCCTCTCTAAATCGTGTTACTAATTCCCGCACGACGAAAAAATCGTTAAAAGTAGCAACTCTAAACTGATGGATTACGCCATGCCGTTCTTACCCGTTCCTGACGTCCTCAAATACATTATTAACGTAAGAAACAATGCCAAGACTATTTATCCAGAGCCGGAAGCATCGTTCTTCTCTAGAAGTTAGTACATCATCCGTCATCATCTCTGCGTACGATACTTGTTTTCCATCTACTGCAAAACCACTCCTGCAGAACAAAACGAACCAAATCTATACGTGAATTAACCGTAAAATAGACAAGGGAATGGGAGTGTCAAAACGATATCGAACGTATATCTATTCTTGTTTGAAGTATGAGGCATTCCAAGGTGTAATGGATATGTGGAGCCAAGACGCAAGGCAAAAAAAGCATACGAATTGTTGAGGCAGAGCTCACAATATATAAAACATGTGACAGATATAACGCGGTAAAGTAAGCATGTCTGTAACAGCCCAAACCCAAGTCCACCACTAGCAGATATGTCCTCTTTGGGCTTTCCCCTTCGGGATTCTCCTCAAGATTTTTGAAACACGTCTGCTGGGTAACAACTATAATGCAAGTAAGCATGTGTGCAACAGCCCAAACCCAAGTCAATCGCTAGCAGTAATGTCCTCTTTGGGTTTTCCCTTTCGGGATTCCCCTCAAGATTTTTGAAACACGTTTGCAAGGGAGAGGTTTCCACACCCTTATAAAGAATGTTTTGTTCTCCTCTCCAACTGATGTAGGATCTCACAATCCACCCTCCTTCGGGGCTCAATCTTCCACTAGCACATCGCCTGGTGTCTGATTCTGATACCATTTGTAACAGCCCAAGTCCACCATTAGCGGATATTGTCCTCTTTGGGCTTTCCCTTTCGAGCTTCCCCTCAAGATTTTTGAAACGCGTCTGCTGGGGAGAGGTTTACACACCCTTATAACGAATGTTTCGTTCTCCTCCCCAACTGACGTTGGATCTCACAATCCACCCTCCTTCAAGGCCCAACGTCCTCACTGGCATACCGCCTCGTGTCCACCCTCCTTCGAAGCTCAACCTTCCCCTAGCACATCACCCAATGTTTAGCTCTAATACCATTTGTAACAACTCAAGCCCACCGCTAGTAGATATTGTCCTTTTTGGGCTTTCCCTTAAGGTTTCTAAAACACGTCTGATAGGGAGAGGCTTCCACACCCTTATAAAGAATGTTTCGTTCTCCTCCCCAACCGATGTGGGATCTCACACAGAGGCTGATATTTTTTTTCTCTTTCATTTCATCGATTTACATGTGATAACAGTAACCACCAAACTTTCCTCAATTCCGTCAACATCTATACGAGTCAGGATCAAAGACAAAGTAATAATTGAAAGAAACATAAAAGATCCTACTAAGACTTTACCGTTGGTGAAATATTTGAGCCACAAAAGCAAGGTTCAAATTGGATGAACCCTCAACAATATCTTTCGGAGTCAAATATCTTTTACAATCCATTCTTTCTGCATGATCAAGTACAAGTTTTGCCCTTTCATTAGGATCCTTAGTAGCCAATGTGGATGGACTACAGTGTTCGGGAGCAAGAACGTTTAGCAGGTAAGCGTAAGCCTCTCCATCCTACGTGATATGATCAAAAGTTACTATCTGTTTGCCAATACCGGGTTCAAATATTTCCGATATAATAAAAAACGTTAAAGTCGGCTAATTCAGAAAGAACGATAACATAAGCAGAGCAGCCATACTACCTTCAGATCAGATGAGAAATTTGAAACAGGTTTCTTGTATCCTGCTTTCTGAAGGTGGAAATTCATCCATTTTAACAAAATCTTCTCGGGAGGTAAATTAATAAGCTCCTCGATATCCTGGAAAGCACACGGTAAAGAGTGATGCTACAGCACTGATAATTAGATTTCGACAAAAATATCACACGACAAATTTATACCCCTTACCCCACTCTCCTGGACGAGTTCCAAGAGTTGAGGCGTCTTCCTCAGGTTAAGATCGGCCAATAGTTGGATCTGAAGTTTCCATAACAAGCGAAATCAATGAAACGAGACAAAAGTAGTTTAAATCACTTCTGAAACCAGAAGCTCAAACAATTGTCGAAATGTAATGAAGAAACCTTTATAATTTGCGAAATCAATCCCAAGATCAGATGCGGCTGCAAGAGAACAACTTTCGGTCAAACTTTTATGACAATCGTAACACTAATAAAGAAAGGTGACGGGCACATAAACATACTCGTCCTTCAACCAAGTCCTGTGTACCAATATTAACCACTGTGCAGCCGATTGCTTTGGCAGAGTTGAGACAAAGAGTATGGTTTTCATTTCTCTCCCACGGGTTGAGGACTCGTTTGGTATTGATAGCTCGTTCATCGATCGTCCCAGGTACAGCAACATTGATAAGTTTACTGCATTGTCATTGAAATACATTAGCGCCACCGCAGGAGACACGAGGTTCTTGTTTAAGTTAGAAAAACAGGTAACATCAAACCCTACACAAATACCAGAGAAGAACTCCATCCTTTGCAAGATTAAACAAATCATTCGAATACGGGTCTAATGGGAGATAGTTCGATAGAAATGCATCATCTCGAAGATAGCTATTTATGTGAGCCACATAGAGCGATTTCTCCGATTCACTGATTGTATGAAGAAGAGTGGTTGTGCTAGCCTTGAGAAACGACCAAGAGTTGTTTGCACCACCAACTTTTTCGGCTGATCGACCGTGCAAGTTTAAATATGCCTGCCGTTTCACATAATCAAGACTTGAGAACCATAAAAATATGAACACAAGTCATCGAGTAGTACAAACAGTGAATAGACTTGCCCTGAGAAAGGATTCAAAATCAATTTCATCGCTCAACTGAGGATCTGACTCGCTCAAGATTCCCCTGATCTCTTCTTCACTATGCCTTTCTTTAAATGCCTTCAAATTCATCATTATTTGTGGCAAATCTCCGGTCGTCACTTTTCCATTTTGATTCTTAGCCGATATAAACTAAAACAAACGGGCAGTTCATAATCGATCATCTCAAGAACATTTTCAAAGGCAAATGATCAAGAATGCAACACTCACTCTGGATTTGAGGCTTCGAAGCTCCACTTGAGTGAACTGACTTTGAAGCCACTGATCAGAAACTAAAACGCCTTCAAAACTAGACATCTCCACAGATCTTAAATGTGGAGACAATCAATCTTGCAGAAGAAAAATTCGAATTAAAATCGAAACCAAACACAAAACCATTCCTACAAGACATCAATCATCAATTCTCCGACAATAAGAACAGCGAAAGAAATCAATCCCATTACAAGAACAGAACAAGAACAAGAACAACAACTCAAACAATCATAATCGTACGAGTAACAACTCGAATCCATTAGAAAACACAAAATCAAAGCACACCCGGAATTCCATACCGATTGGAGACCAAAATCCGCGGAGAAAAAAGTGGGTTCCGTTCTTTTTGATGGATGAACACTATTGAACCCTCAAACAAAACTTAGTAGAAGAGAGAGAGAGAGAAGAAGAAGAAAAGGGATCAATATGTTTCTTGGTGGAAGAGCAATAGGGAGGCAAAGTGTGTGAAGGAAAAGGAATGGGGCAGTGATTTGGGAGAGGCAAGAACACAGAAGAAAGGCGCCGCGCAGGGTGAGATAGGTAATAGAGAAAACAGGGTATGATGTTCGGCAAGTCGCTGTTCTTGTTTTACAACTCACCAAATTTGGGCAACACCTGTTTGTTGTCTTCTTCAATGCAAAAATCTCTTCATCTTCATCTTCATCTTCATCTTCATCTTCATCTTCATCTTCATCTTCATCTTCAACCCCATTCCCATCTAAACCCTATTTTCACCCAAATTAGCCTCCATCGTTCATTAAATCTGCTACCCAAATGAAAATCAGGCGCATCCCCTCTCTCTCCCTCTTCTTCCCATGTGATTAAGATCTTTCTTTGGGATAATGTGTTTATTTGATGCTCTTGGATTTAGGTGATTTGTGGTGTTTCTTGTGGACATTATTGGACCCGAATTTGGTATCGAGAGTCAAAATACATGTTAATTGTCAACGGGTTATGCTCGTTTTGGTAGTTGTTCGAACTGAGGTTTGAACTTTGAGATATCAAGAGACAAAATACGTATCAATTGCTAATGGTTATACTCGTTTTGACTGTTTGTTCATATCAGACTTGAACCCTGATATTAAATGACAAAATACATACCAATAGTTAAGCTCGTTTTGGCCGTATAAAAATTACATAAATATTTAGTTTTTTCTTATATTATTAATTTTTAAGCTTATTAAAAATATTTAAGTATAACCAAAATGATATTTTATTGAAAAAAAAATATTTGTAATCATATTAAGATATTGAAAATGATTTAATTTTTGTTTTTCTATTGTAATAATGTAATTATATTTTTTTTTATTATTTTCAATATTATACTAATGTACACGTCGTCTATAATAAAAATATTTTAAATTTTTTTAATTTAAATTAAAGGGGAGTAAATATTTTTTTTATATTATAAATGAATACAAATATAAATTCATTAATTCAATCCAAAATTAAATTGTATTTAATTTCTTGACTTTTTCATCATTGGCATTAATGAAAATCAATAATTCTTTTTCCTATTAATCATAAAATGATTTAATTCAATGAAACAAGTAATTCGTGATATAGGTGTGTTCACAAACTCGAGAATCTGACTAATTAAGACTACCTAACTCAGACCATGAATCAGAATTTCTTTCGGTTTGACATTTTTTTGGTTGGCTCATCCTAACCAATCCGACAACCAAACCAACCCAACTCGAAAATAGAGGGTTGAGTTGGTTGTTCGGGTGACCAATCCAACCAACTTAGAATGTTTTCCAATTCAACTCAACCCGTGCATATCATAATAATAATAATAATAAAAGAGAGAAAGGGTAAGAAGGTCTTTTGGGAGTTTTAAGAAATAAAAAAGAATGGGCCTGTGGGGCCCAATAGATTTGTTCAGAATGAGAACGGGTGGACCATAAGTTGCTTTCACTCCAAGGAATGGAAGCAAGGTGGGCACCCAAATTCACAAATAAGTTTTAATTAATTATTTTAATTTATTGGTTAAATATTTATTACCTTCACTCTCACTCTTTCAAACTTTTAAATATAATAATTAAATATTGCTCCTTTTTTAATTATTATTTAAATCATTCTCTTGTAAATAAAAGACATGAGGTTGAATTTTTTTTCTTAAAAAAAAAAAGGATAAATTTTATATTTAATATTATTTATTACAAATGGTTTAGGCATTATAAATACATATACTAATTATTAATACAACTTTCATAATTTCTAACCTATTTTAATAGCTATTACTAATATTAATTTTAATCGAGCCACCCGAGTTCACAATCCAACTCTAACCCTCTATTTTTATTACAAATGTTACATTAATAACGATGAAACTCAAATATTAAATATTTATAAGTAGTATATAAATATAAGTTATTCCTAATCTCTATAAGAAACTTAAAAGTACGGGTTGGGTTGAGTTAGAGCCTTATTTTCGAGTTTGTTGAGTTAACTCGATCAAAAAAATTTCAATCCACGAACTGACTCGAATTCTAAAATTTCATCCCGACCTAAAATGAAAAAAAAAATCTTACTGAACCAACGTTTATGGTTTGGATTGGATAATATGAATTGGTTAAGTTCTCGAATCACATGAATAATTAATATTAACCAAATCTACATCTATATATATTTATCTTATTATATATAAACTATCATTGCATTTCTAGTTAGAATCTAATTTTTCGTTAAATCCCTTACTTATCATCATTTTAGCTTTCTTTATTCACACATTAATTCCAATTATCAACACCATACCATCTATCCTAGTGTTTATCGGTAGTACGAATTCATTTCAATTAAGTATCAAATTGAAAAAAAAAAAATCTAATCAACTCTCTCGATATAATTAAATTACTTACTATTTCTTGCACGAATTTATGTATACGTGCATATGTTGAGTTTTAGCATCACTATCACAAGCAACAAATTTTTGGGGTCGTTGTCAAAGAATCTATTTAGAGTTCTTATTTCAAAATTGTTAATGAACTAGAGCTAGTAGAAGTTCTCTAATTTTCTACCGTTTTTGCTGGATCAAGAAAATGAGAGAACTCGTAGGAGAAGATTAAAAGATGACCGAACGACTCTTTGCTTCACCCAAGATGCTGTTTTATTCTATAGATTATAGAAGTTAATATTCTTCAAGAAACTACGATTTCGTTAGTGTTTTGGGAAAAGGGAAATGAGGCGTTGAGAAAACGAAAATAAAGCACCCCTCTCCCTATCGGTCGAGTTGCTTCGCCCCTCTCCTCTCGAGTCGAGCTCACAAGAATAGTTGACCAATACTACCAAATCAAGAATTTAAATTCTAATTAAACTATGAGATTAATATACCAACTAATGCACCTAACCTGGCTAGGAATCCTACTAATACTATTCACTCGATAGGAAAAGAGCTATGAGAACATATATCTTGACACGGTCGTACTTTTTTAATTGTGCAGTGTCGTGATGTGACACGCTCACGACAAATCTTAAGGGAAACTTGAACTTCAATCACATTTTTCGCCTGACTTTGTGGCTTTGTCAAACCTTAGGCGAAATTGCTTCTACTCTAACTGGGATCTCTCATAAGCAACATCACATCTCATCGTCATCTTAGTTCCTTACAATCCAACCCATGCATCGTGATGTCATTCCATGTCTTGAGACAGCTTGACGATCTTGGCTTGCTCGAATACATCTATTTGAGACTGACTCACGTGTTGACCATTTCATTGGGACATCTTGAACGTTCTTCCATCTGGGTTCTTATTGAGCATTGGTCTCTCCTATGTCCATGCTAAACCATTTATGACATTCGTTATGGATAGCGAGTGTATAATTCAACCTCTGATACATTAGCTAGGGCGCAACATCAACACATCTGTGCCATCTGGTACTGTCCTTGAAAAATTCATTTCAAAGAAAGTCCCTTGGGACACTCGTCTCGCAACGCATGCCCTCGTTATGACGCACATATTTACCACAAGGTAGCTCACTTTGGCCACAGGGCTTAGGGGTTGCGAAGAGCTGACACCATGTCTCCCTCTATAGTACATTTTAAGGCATTTTCAATCTTCCTCGGGTAGACGTCATTTTGGCGAGCAGTCATACGTTGTCGTGGAGCATCCTTCCGATGTTCGATTAACACCAAATTTTGAGAGCTTTCATATTTTATATGAACGCACTTGACTCCAAAATTGCATGCCCAAATTTCCCTCGGAACCCTGACATTCAAGGTTAAGGCTTGGGGCCCTACCCAACCCTTCAACAAGCCTATCTCTAGCCCTTATCTTGCTTATGCCTCGTTCCAGCTTCGATGCACACTCTATGTGGTGTGATGGATAATGTATTGTCCTCCTCGTACACATCATGAAACTTGTCTAGACCCTCGCGTGGGCACATGGGCGCCACTTGAGGGTTGTCACTTTGCTTGTCACAATGTACTCTCTTCATAATATGTGATGAACCAAGAAGCATCAATCATACAATAAAAACCTAGAGTTGCACTCTTTAATTAATCAATTTCCATTCATTAACTATAGGTCACTCTACTATAGACCTAGAGTTGCACTCTTATGCACTGTAGGACAAGTTATGTCCATTGATATAATCATTACAAGCAAGTCGATCATTCACGAGTCGTTCATAATTACAGTTGGGTCAAAAGTCCGTTTTACCCCTGTAATTACATCTTTCACCTTAAGTACCATTGATTCTCTAATGAACAATTTGTCTATGATCCAATCATAAACCAAGTCCCTCTCGAGCCAATGAGAGGGTGGGCCCCATTGTTCAAGTCCCAAAATCAATACTTAAGAGAACAACTCATCTACTTACCTTATATGGGAAGGAGTGAATTTCATCTCATGATATTATGTTCTCAAGTCCCTATACCGTCAAGTCCCCAAAATTGTAGGCATATTGAATGGGCTAAAAGAGTCATTCTCACCCATGTAAATTAAAGGACAAGCCCTCACAGGCACGAAGTTCATAACTCATCGAGGATTAAGATTAAGTCGCATATGATCATCATGTGAAATATTAATCTTCTTAATTAACGGATTTATAAAGAGATTAAATATTTCTTGGTCTAGTCTTATACAAGCTCATTATATATGATACCCCCACTTACATGTCTCCACATGAATGATTTGGATTAAATCATTTGTAACGATTACAAAATGGGCCGTATTAATAGTGTTACTAGGACAAGGCACCTAACCTTATCCATATACTATATACTCTTTAGGTTATTACTTGAACACGAACTTCTTGTATGTCAACCACATACTGTTCAAGATTATATTAATAATCTTAGATTTTCATACCATGGATAACAATTGAATTACAAATAAAATAATATAAATTATTGTTAAAAACTAAATAATTAATTACGAGGCTTTAAGGCATAAATCCCAACATTTTAAATGTCGTGTACTATCAAGATCTTAAAGCTAATTAATTTCATGACTTATTCTAGTTCTACCAGGCTTGCAAGTTCATGTAACAACTCACTCCTATTTCAAGAGTGCAAGTCACCCATCAAGATTTCTTCCGAGTGCGCTTAACCTTCGATTTCTATTCTCCATGGTTCATCTCGTCATTATCTTATCTGTGTACAATTCAGAGTGCCCTCATCTACGAGTTCTAGGATGAATCTGACATGTATGGAGGAGTCAATAGATTCCTTAACCTACAATTTCACTTGATCTAACTAAACTTCACATTAAATCACCTAGGCTTTCTTAAATCTAGTATATAGTTGCATTTTAACCCATAATTTTTTAATGGTAGCCCAAAGTCACTAGATAATTGGATTATGTATCACAATTATTCTTAACCATAGCTTACATACATTTATATTTTATACTATA